AGTGTACAGAAAAAGTACACATACAGACCAGTATCTCAACTTCAAGTCCCACCATCCACTGCACCAGAAACTGGGAGTCATCCGCACCCTTATGGACAGATGTAACTCGGTGGTGACAGAGGAGGAGGACAAGGAAAGAGAAACACAGCACATCAGAAGAGCCCTTGTCCGTTGTGGGTACCCGGAATGGACCTTTCGGAAGGTGGAACGGAAAGGGAAGAGGTCAAAGCAGACAGAGAAGAACGAAAAAGAGGGGGATAAAACTAGGGTCATGGTGATTATCCCATATGTGAAAGGAGTAACCGAACCACTAGAAAGGGTATTCAGGAAACACCAGGTATCCACAGCAGTGAAACCAAAAACAACATTGAGGAACCTGCTTGTCCACCCCAAGGACAAGATGGGGGACCACGTGAAAACAGATTGCGTATATAAAATACCATGCAAAAGCTGTGATCAAGTGTACATTGGAGAAACTGGCAGGACCTTTGGCAAAAGACTGGAAGAACACAGAAAAGAGGCAGACAACAGCGAAACCGTAAGATATACACGCTCCCAGAAACAACAAGCACAAAAAGAAGAGAAAAAATCGGCAGTCACAGATCATGTTGCCAGAAACAATTGTGTGATAGACTGGGAGGGTGCCAGGGTCATAGATAGGGAGGACAACAGAAGAATCCGTTGGATTAAAGAAGCAGTCTGGATAAGGAAGTCTACCCCAGTGATGAACCGGGACGAGGGGGGATACAAGCTCAGCCACGTTTGGGATTGCATTCTCGCCGCAAAAGCGCCACCTACTTTGGCGTTAAATAGCGGCGAGTTGCAGAACTCCAGTCAGAAGCTCTGAGGAAGGTGTCTGATAGACATCGAAACGTAAGCAGGTGAGAACCTTACTGGTTGTGTTAGAAGAAAATCCTATACCCCCAGTCCTTCCAACTCTGCCCTGCCACTTGCTACATAATGTAATTCCAACACCTCTGCTACAGCACTAGTTACCACCTGGTCAAGGTCATTGACCTTTGTTTGGAAAAAAACAACCTCCATGGAATGGAGTATGAAATAAGGTTGTAATTAGCATTATCTATTTTAATTGATGGTTCATTTTAACATTTCATCAATTATACAGATCACCATATTTACATAATTTATGCATAGTGTGGAACACACCTGATACAGGTGAGGTAGGATGGACACATACCTTCCCCCAGACAGGTGTGGTGCAGGTAGATCTCCTCAGCCAGGTGAGGCAGGACAGGTGCCAGAGTCTTGGTCAGCACGTCCAGGATGTGGAACTGGACAGTCTGGCAGCCACGCCTGCCCAGCGAGGTCTGGTCATCACAGTACAACCTGAAGTGGAAGAACCAATGATAACAATGTGGGATAAACTGAAAGGAATCTGAATGCGTGTGTTTTGTAAGAATGCAAAAGAAAAGCAGACCTAACATATTTAAAGGCCATAGGATGGAGTCCCTATTCTCTATACTTAAGGACCATCCCTTTCCCTAGTACTGAAGGACCATCCCTTTCCCTAGTACTGAAGAACCATCCCTTTCACTAGTACTGAAGAACCATCCCTTTCCCTAGTACTGAAGAATTATCCCTTTCCCTAGTACTGAAGAATTATCCCTTTCCCTAGTACTGAAGAATTATCCCTTTCCCTAGTACTGAAGAACCATCCCTTTCCCTAGTACTGAAGGACCATCCCTTTCCCTGGTACTGAAGAACCATCTCTTTCCCTAGTACTGAAGAACCATCCCTTTCCCTGGTACTGAAGAACCATCCCTTTCCGTGGTACTGAAGAACCATCCCTTTCCTTAGTACTGAAGAACCATCCCTTTCCTTAGTACTGAAGAACCATCCCTTTCCTTAGTACTGAAGAACCTTCCCTTTCCCTGGTACTGAAGAACCATCACTTCTCTTAGTAGTGAAGAACCATCCCTTTCCTTAGTACTGAAGAACCATCCCTTTCCTTAGTACTGAAGAACCATCCCTTTCCTTAGTACTGAAGAACCAACCAACCAACCAATCAATCAATCAATCAATCATTTGCAGGCATCAGGAGCTGGTATAAATACTGTACAATTGATACGCCAGAAAGAAAAAAAAGGACACTATAAAGGCTCCATATTTGATAACTTTAAAAAAACATAAAGGCTCCCAAACATGCCCAGTTGTAGCACCTGCTAAGAAAGCTACCTTATACCTGTTATTTACGACCACTCACCTGTCCTTGGTAATGTTGAGGTAGAAGCTGGACAGTTCCTTAGTGACCAGACCCAGGGTCAGGTATTGCACTTTGGTGAAGTGGTAGTTTTCATAGGCATCTGTTACCTGTGAAAAAAAACACTGTCTGGTTATACATGTTGCCTCACAGAAATTGCTTTTGGTGATGCCTGAGGAGTGAAGACTGTGTAGTAAATATGGATTAAATAGGGTTTATAACAATGTAATCCAACCAAGGGGGTAATACACTCTAATGTTAAAATGATGATTTCAAATTAATAACTCCAACATAACCAGTGCATCAGCAGAGCGTACTGTACATGTACTGTGTCTGAGCAAAAGTGTAATGTGCATAGAACTTCAGCAGAACATCTCTTTCAAGTGCTAATTCATATTCACGTATTTAAGGATGATCCCATATTTAGTTTTCCAATGTTGTGTCTGAAACAAATTGAGATGTTGACCAAACATCCGACAAAAACGGCAAATTCCTGGTTTCACACAGGCAAAGTACCTTCTGTTGATGTGCTAAAATGACCCACCTTTTGTGCATACTGATACAGTACATGTAGCATGTACTGGTCCACAGGCCGGAGCTGGTGGTACAACACGGCGTCTTCTGGTCTGAACCCAGACAGATTCCCCAACAGGAAGCGCAGAATCCGACGTACCTGGAAAAGCTTCACTTTTAAAATAGAGCTAAAATAGATAGTTTAACCTTCTTCCTGCTGCCAAACCCCATAACCAATATACAATTGGCCAAAAAGCTACCTAAGTTAGCATCCTGAAGTTTAAAACATCTAAGTAAAAGAAAACAGCTTTCTACCGGTAAGTTGCATGGTCATTTTTCTATGTAGTATTTTGCTTTTTCAAACTTTAAACAAATAAAAAAACTACTTTGTAAGTCTTGTCATATTCACTCAAAAGAATTTGAACACAGCTCTAGAGTCTGCTTTTAAGGGTTCATAAAAAGTTGTTCTGTCTGCTGTCTGACCTTGAGCACGCTGTCCCTGGCTGTGTTGAGGATGTTAGTACCGATGTAGACATGGCTGTGCACATCTGACCCTGCCACCCACCAGCGCAGCACATCTGCTCCGTATGCTGGGTGCTTGTCTCTGTTCTGGGAACATTGGACAATGATTAACAGCTGCAAAGTCTGAAATTATATAATTAGCAACCAAGAAATAGTAATGCCTTCAAGAATCAGAGTTATCAACCAAGGATTGAGGCATTCAAAAACATACACTAAAACAAAACCCACCTTTCCTCCGCTGACCACCAGGTTTGGATCCACCACGTTCCCCAGGGATTTGGACATCTTGGTTCCATCTTCAGCCATCGCGAAGCCGTGTACAAATACAGACCTGTCATGGCGAGACATACGCATTCAATGGAATACACGTGTAAAGGTTGAGGCTGCATGGACCGTGGGCACAGTATTGGAAAGCAGAGCCCATGCTAAACATGACGGAAAATAAATAAGACAAATCAGTGATCATTGTCCCTGCAATATTCCTTATTACCTGTAGGGGGTGCTGTCCTTCACTGCCACGCTAGTGAGAAGAGAAGACTGAAACCAGCCTCCGTGTTGGTCCTTACCCTCCAGGTACATGTCAGCTACTCCTCCTGAATCTACAAGGCAGAGAGATACTAGTGATAAATACATAATATACTATACCATAGATATGCATGGCAGATTGCTAGTAATTCTAAAAAGTTCTAAACACAAAACCAATTGAACCAAATGACGTTTTCATAGTATGGCTTAACCTTCTACCTGCTGACTATCCCCACAACCAATACAAATTTTGTGCCAAATTAGCATGCTATATGTTAAGACAGAATTCACAAATTGGTCTTCTATGCTAAGCAAACGGTTTGCCACTACATATCACAAATCACCTTCTAACACAGCAGCCCAGGACACTCCACTGTCAAACCAGATATCCAGGATGTCTGCTCCCTTTTCAAATTCACTGACATCCGTGTGGCCAGCCTACGGATGAAATGAAATATATGTATGGTCAGTTAAGCATGTACACAAAAAGGTACCTATCTGGCAAAATATCACACCTCTATAAAATATTAGCCTGGTTACCAAACCTATTATAGCTCCCGAGTCCTACATCCTCTCCGCAAATAGCGGAGAGGATGTAGGACTCGGGAGCTATAATAGGTTTGGTAACCAGGCTAATAAAATATAAAGCTAAATTCCATAACTATATTTCTTCTACCAGCTATCAGCAGTTGCAAAGTGGTCAGAGATGCTTTAGAGAGCAAAAAAACAATGATGTGTGTGTACATGTGTATTTACAGACGATTACAGTAACTGTGTATTTTAGTCCTATAGTCAGTTCAGTTTTCTTTATATTCTATGCAATTTGCAGTCTACTTTGTTTTTTCGCTTCATAGTTTCTTCCATTTCACTCCATTACATTCCACTTTGAACTTTTTCTACACGCCAAAAGTACCTTTCTGATGACATCAGCAGGCAGTAGTTCTTCCATAGGAAGTGTCCACCAACAGTCTGTCCCCTGACTCCTCACCAGGCTGACCACATGGTCCACTGATTCCCTGGAATAAATACAACATATTAACAACTTTGCTTGCTTGTTTGTTTCGTTTTGCATTACTGCTAAACTGTCTCAAGGCACAACATGCTAGTTTTTACTTAAACGTTTGAACAGGGACGTTTGAAGCTCCTTGGTTTGAACAACTCACAGTAAGGACCCCTACTCTTTTCAATAAGTGCAGTGGGATCTTTAACATGCTCGAGTTGTGGATCTCCTCAAACACTGGGCACCAGGCTTTACGTCCAATCCGAGAGGACATCCCTAACTCAAGCCAGGTACTCATTTTCACCTGAGCACTAGTCATGTGAGGAAATAGGACCAAGTGCCTTTCCCAAGAACATGGCAAACAAACCAGTGTACCTACTTTGTGAGCAGAGGTTTCCCAGACTGCCTGTGGTAGAAGACAGGTATGGGCACACCCCACACCCTCTGTCTGGAGATGCACCAGTAGTTACGTGTGGACACCCAGGCTTTCAGACTGCTGGCCGCTGTTCCCTCAGGGTACATCCTCACGCCATCTAGCAGATCCTAACGGAATGACAAGTAGATATAACTGTTGTGTAAAAGAAGCATTTGGCTCAAGTTGGCAATTGAAAAATTTCATGACATTGACATTGTGTCCCAGATTTTTCAGTACTTTGTTAGCATTCTAAATCAGGCACAACAGGGCTCGAAATACTTTCAGCACACCTGCACTAGTGATGGTAACACCTGCAACAGATAAAGTTTACCTGCACCATGCACTCAGAATGTATAGGAAGTAAGGATCATTCTAAAAACTCTTCAGAAACCATTGCCATTATTTCATTATATTTATACTTCATTGGTGGTAACCCAGTACATTGTACATGGACTAGTGCAGGGTAGGTACAGGTAGACATCAGAAATACCAATTTACCTTCACTAACCTGCATACGCAGGTGGTATTTTGAGCCCTGCACAAGAATGTCACCTTACCACGGCTCTGTCTTTAATACTGTTGGTGTTGACGAACCACTGTAGACTGGCCCTTATAAACACTGGTTTCTTGGTTCTCCAGTCATATGGATAACTGTGCCTGTAGTCCTGCTCATGTACCAGGTTACCAGCTGATCTCAGCTGCTCTACAACTGTGAGGTAATGGGAAAACAGTTTGTTATAGTCAGTTCATTCAATGGAAAACTTATTGCAAAAAAATAACTTTATGAAAGTTAGAGTTCAACACAAGTTTTTCTTCATGTTGTTATTCAGAAAATGGAAAATTGGTCTAGTGATAAACTATTAGACATGAACAATAGGAAATACATGTATCTTCTCACCTGTTTCATTCCCATCAGAGAAGATGTTCTTGCCCTGAAGGTCTGGTCCAGCCTGGTCAGTGTATTTACCATCTTCATCAACAATAGTGAACTGTCAAAAAAGTCATCAAAGATTTGAAACTACTGCAAAATTCTGTTTCTATCAAGTAACACCACAGCTTCACAGTATAGATTTTGTAAATGTATTTTAAACCTGTCAGTTGATCATTACTGCTCCAAGCATTTGAAGGTCAGATGAAAGTAATGTTCAAAATATTTCCAATAGTACAGGTACTGAAATCAAGTGGACACCCTTTTCCTGGTACTGAGGAACCATCCCTTTCCCTGGTACTGAAGAACCACCCTTTTCCGTGGTACTGAAGAACCATCCCTTTCCCTAGTACTATGAACCATCCCTTTCCCTGGTACAGAAGAGCCATCCCTTTCCCAAGTACTTAAAAAACATGATCCCTTTCCCTAGTACTGAAAAACCATCATCCCTTTCCCAAGTACTTAAAAAACATGATCCCTTTCCCTAGTACTGAAAAACCATCCCTTTTCTTAGTACTGATGAACTTTCCCAAGTACTGATGAACATCTATGAAAGAATGTAACCTCCATACCACAGGAAGCTGGAAGGCCAGTGCTACAGAGTAGTCCTCCATGCCATGTGCAGGTGCGGTGTGCACCAATCCTGTACCCTTGGCCATGCTGACATGATGGGCTGGCAGCAGGGGAGACACCTTACCATGGATGGTAGGGTGCTGACATGTACTACCTTCTAGTGTAATACCTGTACAGGCAATAGGTTTTGACATTAGTCATATAAGTCAAAATAACTCTTTTGTTGTATATAAGGGGGGGGGGGTTAAAATCATCTTTATTTCAATATACATGTATATACAAGATGACTCGTTGAAGTACACCTAGGCCAGCCCTTTATCTCATCAAGAGGAGGGCGCAAGGTAAGTAAAATGTAACAAGTAACTGTGTGCATCGGACATTAAACTTTCGATTAAAATTGTTTTCTACACATACATTTCATTTATATATAATATACGTATACTTACAAAAAATGTTTTATAGATCTTAAAGATAAAAAAAAGAATCAAGCCTGTTGCATTTAATTTATCTTTTACAAGAGAATAGCCCTGAAGTACTTTCCCAACCCTGTGCGTTTCTAGCGCAGTATATGGCATAAGATGCATATAAGTGCAGGGGGAATCTTTACAATAGATTTTTGTGCTAAGGCCACACCAATTGCATTTGCTATTTACAAAAATATGCTAAGCTGGAAAGATATAATGACACATGAAAACTAAGCCAATATTTCAGTGCACACATTTTTATACACATATTCAAGTTTTCCTGCCTGCCCTCTGCTTTTGCAATAGAGCATTTTTAACAAATGTTAAACCTTGAACCATATTATAACCTCCTTGGCTAAACCTACCTGGAAAAGTGTTGAGGACATCCAAGTGTGTGTTGAGGACCTGGGCAGTGCTTTCTACACATTCAGAGGCCAGGATGTACAGCTGTCCTGTTGTCTTACACTGGCACAGGGAGTAACTGGGGGAAAAAGAAAAAACAAACATTATGACTCTTGATTTTAATTCCTGAGACTAGAAAATGGGATGTATTACACCTTGAACCATTATCATATCACACAGAACTGAATTTATTGTTTTGTTTGAATGTTTGTTTTGCATATTAACCAATAAACTGCCTTAAATCATAACACACCGGTTGTCTACAGTAAGTACAAGCTGTATAAGACCAGACTGTTTGAACCACTCACACTGGGAAAGACCCCTGCTCTTTTCTTTGGGATCTTT